CGAGATTTTTCTACCTAATTGTTTTATACACCTTTCTTCTATTCAGAACACGCGATAAGTAATTAGTTTGTCTTTCGTCTGTTTTATGTTTTTTTTTCTTTATTTACAGGAAAAAGTACTCTTTTTAAGCAGAGGGATCGATCACCAGCTGATGCACTGAGGTGAGTTCTCATTGTGACTTGTACCTTTTCCGATATTGTTGCCCTTCAGTCGTCACAAGTTTGAGTTTTCACAAGAGTTTTTCATTTGCTCTTGGTGATCACAATGGGATTTGATGAGTCCTACAAACAGAAGCCACACTTTCTAATGCAGCTTTTTTTCCTCTACCACATATTGAAAAGTGAGCATCGGTTATACCGATCAGCTTTTTGTTTATCGTACCTCCCAACCACTACTTATGATTGATGGGTAGAGTTCTTACTTTGAAGGTCCCTGCATTTTGCATTTACGACCAATCATGTGATAAAGAAATGGATCTAATACAGTAAACGTTAGTAGTTAGCATTTGCCAAGCAGAGCGAAGTACTGAAATGACAAATACCTTCATATGGAAGCAACACATTCTTCAGGCAATCACCATATTGTGCGACATGAGAACTTTCAGATTTTAGAAATACGGTTTCAGTAAATGAACTTTCCGTGACAGTGGCATTGTATTTTGCACATTTAAACCGTTTGCAACTGATACGACACAATTGCCTAGCTATTCTGATTTCAAAAACGTCCACTGGCTTCTCTCTTTCTAAATTATTGTCTGTATGTGTATGTTGATAAGTGTATGTTCTCATAATTTAATGCCGTTGCAAGGCCACTCCGTAGACTGCTTAAACAACCCGGGCACAATAATGACCTCGATAATGACCCTACGGAGTGGTCAAGTGACTGGGAAGTGCACAAAGAAACAACCTTGTGATTTAAAATCCTGGCTTCTTTGATATGTTCCATGTGTATTTAGTGGTGATGGGTATACATAATCTAACTTTAAGAGTAACCTATGTAAAACTAGTGTTGTACTCAACTTCAATACATGAAATAAAGTCCATTTCGCTTATCGCATTTTATATTTGAAAGGTTAATCCGTTTTTTACCCTCTAAATTGGTATTTTATTTCCGACAAATTGTTTTTGCACGCCATTTTGTTTCCTGTACCGATTTTGTTTTCAGTCACTATGTTCTCAAGTTTTCGCAATGAGTGTATAAGTTGTGGACGTCATTTTGGATATACGACTCAAGAAAATAATAACCTTATAAAGCTATACTGGTGCCTTTAGACTAGCAAGAAAACTCGTTCGATTTGCTGTCGGACAGTACTGTCGCAAGTGTAGCATTGCGAGTTCATTTGACAGAACTCGCGGAAGAATTCTCGCGACACTTTTCTTGCCAGTCTAAACAGGCAAAAGTCCGGCTCACCAAGTTCTCGCAGAATTTCCATTTCATTTCGATATTTTGGCGAGTAAACGTGCGAGTTTTATTATATTGTGGCACGTAAATGAGTATCCTGCCTTTTAATTTTGCTACCCCCTTGTAATAATAGTTCCTCAAGGTCTACCCATATGAGAATACTCATATGTCTATGGGTCCACCGCTGACATACGAATAAAATTTTTAAATTGTGGGGGTTGATTCTGCGAATTAATTTATGGTAGGCCCCATACTTTTCTCTTCTTGAGATACATTCCCTCACCCAACACTTCTTTCATGTTTCATTCACTTGCTGGTCTATCTGCGCCTTAAGAGAGTATATAACATTTTGAACCAACGCATCTGCTAAGCACAATATGAAGACTAATAACAAGATGGCGAATGTAAATCAATATTTGCCAACATGGACACTCGAAAACGGTTGTCTAGAAAAACCACTCGAACTCCAAATACTGAGCAACGTGACTGGTTGTCACATCTCCAATAAAATTGATGAATAAATATGGATTTTTTTTAAGATTATTCTTAATTTTTATAAATTTTCGATTCTCTAATTTTTGTTTTTTTTTCAAAACATTCTTGTTATCTTCCCCTTAATTTTGATGAATTCTAAATGAAAAATTTTTAAAATGTCAAGTTGTTATGAATTTCTAAGACAAATATTTTAAAGCCGGGCTATTTTAATAGAAGCCGCCAATTTAAAATCAGTCGTAGAATGGTTTGTGGACCGTCACTGAGAATCCCAGTATATCAGTCCGGCGGATTGAACAAAACGTACCAAATTTGTGAAGGACTTAAATCAGGTGATTTAGAAAGACGTCGCTCATTGTGCGAATGATACACAAGAAAATAATAAAGAGAGTATGAATTTCCCTTATCAAATAATATAGTCTAATAAGAGTATGATTATGAATAATAATAATAATAATAAATGCCTTTATTCACTAGGAATGGGCGAGGTTCAGCAATGACATGTATGCCATGTGCTGCTCTTCCACCTAACCCGATATAACATATAGAAATTAATATTGATATGGCCACAGATAAAATATAAACATGTAAAAAATTAAAGAAAGAATATCTCCAGTGAACACTAAGGTACATAATTATTTATATACATATAGGTACACGTTTCATACACGCATAATCATATAGGTATATTATTGGAATTAATGGGACACGAAAACAAGCAAAGATTCAACTGAAGGGAGCATTAAGTGCATATAAATTAATTTTTATATAAGAAATCTTGGCATTTTCAATAAACGAAATGTCTACTATTGGTCTGGGACCAATGCACATGTAAACAAAACGTTAAGGCATCACCACTGTTTTGGTTTTAATTTGTGGGCTGATATTTTCGGTACAAGGATTTATTAACCTCAAGAGTGCCATTTACATTTAATGGTACTCTTGATAATATACCTCTAGCGATAGTTAGCAACTGTTGGATACAGCATAAAGGTGCATCTGCACATAATTCATCAATGAGATTTCCCGAATAAATAGCAAATGTACAATGCGGATCCTTATTTTGATTTTGATCCAAGCAAACTTATGCCAATCTCAAATATCTGTAGAGTGGATGTTTAATAAAGTTCTGTTGCTGAAATTTTTGTTTGAATTTTTTTCAAATTAAATTTAAATTTTTTGAGTGCATCTAACTTGTGTACATCGCTCAGATTTTTTTAATTTTTTTTGAATTTTCAATTCTCTGTTATTTAAATGCCCCGCCGAAGAAACTGACGCCAGAAGACTTACCAGGTCACCCAGCTAAACGTCCTCAATTAGTCTGGAAATCGAGTGTACAAATGAGTTTTAATGAGTATAGGAGAGGACGCCTTCCAACATTTAAATACATACGTGTGCCAATAAAAGTTTGGTCCAAAAAGTAACAAATTCTGCGATAATGATGAAACTAGTTACAATAAATTGTACGTAAATATTTTACCCACCTGTGATGTTCCATTTGCAAGCAAACGAAATTTTAACGTCTACCAGGTTCATCGCCTTTATGAAAAACACTAGAAACTAATAAATTATTTGAGTTTTTTCAAAATGTTTTCAAATGCGTTTCTTCACAAAATAAATTACAAGCAAGGTAGATCCATTATCCGATAGGTAGTAAATGTTTAAAAGATTTGCACCCCAATTTGAATTAGGAAATGGTTAAATACTGAGAAAAAGAAAAGTGGATGCGCAAATCCAACTTGCTTATTTACGGAGGGGTTTTTCTGAAATTTTAAGAGAAAATGTTTTCTAGAAAATACAAAAATAAGACGCAAGTAATTTATTACGCATTTCTTATTGGTGGGCCATTTTTCCGAAATTTCAAGCGAAGATGCTTCCTGTAAAAGTGATTTGAAAAAAATACGGCACATGCGCAAACATGCATGCATGCGTGGACCGTATCCTATTTATGGACTAATTTTTCTGAAATTGTTCGGAACACGTTATACGAAATCTGTTTTAAAATAAAATGTCCCATCATTTTAAAAGTTGGACTGTAGGTTGGTCGGAATATCAAAAAAGTAGGCATTGATTTGCAGGTGTGTAGATCTTCCGGGGTTGAAGGGAAATCTTTTTGCTTTTTGTAAATTGATTACCTTGTAACTTGTTACTTATTAGGCGGGTCAAGTCTTATTTACATACATACATGTATAGGGAAAAAAAATTTTAGGTTAGGTTCAACCCCTCGTAGGTTTTATTTGTAGTAGACACAACGTTTTAATAAAATAATAATAATAATAATAAAACATACATACATAATCCTTCCTCTCCTACCTTATGGTGTCGAGGTTTCTCTTCAATTGCGAATAAATGTTTCACCTTTACGCAAATCATAAAAATAATGGGTATATCGTGCTTGCATAATGAAATGCAATTTATTTCATCAAGGTATTTGGAATAAACTCAAATTAAAAAACCATTCGGTTTAGATATATGATGATTTACATAAGAGTTACCCCAAATTTAACAAAGATTTCAAATCTCTCCCATTTAATGTAATAAGTGAGGGTCAATTACTGCCAGAGGTCTTTGCAGTCGTCATATTTTCTTCACAATTTATCCTTAATGAATAACCTTATGTATAATTACATAAATTTTTTTTGTGTATATCTTTATAAATTACGATTTTTTTTGTAACGACATTTTATGATTATGAAGGCTCTTGTAATAAGATGTAATATTCTTTATACAATAAAATTATTATTATTATTAATATGAAAATGTGTTAATAGATCAATCGCTTTAAAACTTTACGAATGCTAGTTAACACCTTTACTTTGTTTTACAGAAAAATACTGCCAGAAGCGTCATACAGGAAGATAGCTTGCTTCGTTTATGGTAGACACGAAAGTGGGAAATAGATCATCATGACTAACAGAACATGATCGTTTACCGAACTGAGGCGATATGGTACCAAAGTTTGGAAATAATTTGATAAAATTCTTTTCCAATCGTGTACCAAAAATAGATATTGCAACTGCATTGCAATGAGTCACTCAAGATATTGAGCTATCGGTTGTTCCCACCACCGTAAATAACTAGTGACTACAATGAAAAACAGTACTTACCACTGATATGCGTTAAAGTGGAAGTACACCAATCCAAGACCATACAAAAATGTGGGCTCCATCCAGTGATTGGCGGCTTGTGTCTTGTAAAACATCTGATATGCAGATAATGCTACAATTACCGCAAGTAGTCGTTTTTCAAAAGCATCTATAATTACCTTTCCTGTATTCTTCCAAAAGCAAATGAAAATGTCCCAACTTCACCCACGTTTTAGGATCGATGCTTATTTTCTTCATAGAAGCCAACTGATTTATGTTTCCCTCATGATCGTGATGCAGAGTTTGTCGTGCTTGTATTACCATTAATTGTAAATACTTGATAGCCTACAAGTAGCGAGTTAGATTCACAATCATATAAGCAAATGGGACTACTTCTGTACCTTAACGACAAGGGCTCGTTTCTTGGCATTCTCAGGAGAAGTAAGTATTAAGAACCCATACTGTCGACTGCAGAAAAGTAAAATTTAATGCGAATAAGTTTACTCTTACAGCCTGCATTTTGTACCTGTCTAATTCTGACAAAACATGCAATTCTTGGGGAGTCATTGTTATGTCTTCAGACTCTTCATTGCATGCTTGTGCCTTATTCATTGTCGATGCTAAAAATAGCGATTTATTTTAACGCCTTACAATTATCCCACAATTAAGGGTTAAAATTCTTTAATAATCAGCCAGTTTTCAAACCATGTGGCTTTTACCATAGAGTCAAAATGGTTGGAATCTCAGCTAATTGTTTACTAACAGACCAAACTGTGCATGCGTGGGCAGCCCTTATAAACAATAGAACATGATGTTTGTTTGTTAATTATGAGTAATTTCCACGTATTACTGGCATTAAACTTGCTTTAGTGGCGTGCGATGGTTTGAGAGCGAAACTGGAAAGGACACCCCAATTTGGAAAAAAATTCAACGTCTAATGTTAAACACAAAATTATAATTATTTATCCATTTGATTCTCACTAGTGCTATAAATAAAATGGGTCTTGTTACTATCTATCATTACATAAACTTTGTACCTGTTAAGTTTATTTATACTTTCAGTGAAACACATAATACACAAACATGTTTTAATTTGTACACAAATACATGCGCGGTTTCTTTAAAGCTGTCGGTATTTTGAGATATGGTAGGAATGTGACCATAATCTGTTCCCCCACTTAGAAAAGTAATTAACTATTTGGAATACAAGTACTCGTTTATACCTACCTTGTTTTTAACATGTTTATTTAGGTAAAGACGATTACTGAGTTGGGTAAAGTTGTTCGGGGGGGGGGGGGGGGGGGGGGATTTATTCAAAGCGGCACAACTGGAGATGCTAGAGAAACCCCGCGAGCTAGAGAGATTACAAGGAGAGAAAAGTCGAAAAGACTCTAAATTAACCCTCCCTTGTAGCAAGTTTTCTTCAGACCCCATTTAAAAGTCACACTAATCGAACATCAACCAGAACCGTAACCAGTATGAGCATCTTTCTAAGTGGGGCTTAAGAAAAAGAAGATCATCAGATTATTACCCAAAGAACTGTACATTTCTGCCACTAAAATTATTAATTTACAAATTATTTTCTATTGTTACTTCAAATATTTTTGTTCCTTATTTGATTTTGTTCACAGAATCCACAAGCAACTCTTACACGGCAGTGAACTCTCCCATGTTTCAAAAATTACAAGTGTTTTAAGAAAATCAATTATACATAATAATCCATCAATTGTAAGGGTTCTAATTTTTGTGGTACATTAAATATGTTTGTTTCCTTGCTTGGTTTCGTTTACAGAGCCCACAAGCCACCCCATAAAATTTTAGATGCATGTACCTAAAGGTATAGCCATACCCATTAAAAAAAAAATTAAAAACTACAAAGTTTTAAGAAAACTGAACTCTTCATAACAATGGACCTATTCCGAAAGTTGTAACTTTTGTGGTACGTCAAAAATGTTTGTTTCTTTGTTTGATATGATTGACAGGATCCAGAAGCCCTCTTTTAATAGAGCACATAAAAGTATAGTAAAAAGCCATAAATTTTTTATAATCGACTTACTTTTTATCAGTTTTATAATGTTTGTAGTACCTACATCGAATACTTTTGTTCACGGAGTCCACATAGGCTCGTAGCCAGAATTGATAAAGTAGCGGAGGTGGCAAACAGTTTTCTAGGTGGGACTTAAGAAAAAAGATATTGATAATGAAGTTTTTATTATACATAATAACCGTGATTATCAATTTTTCAAGTTATTAAATTTACCTACATGAGCAGGTACCTTTGTGTCCTTTCAAAGGCTAGAAATGACGAATGGACAACCTTTGATGTGCCATTGTTATTCTTTGAGGTTTATTTATCCTCGCAAGAAAGAAAAATAAACAATACTATCGTTTAGTCTAGATAGAGCTAGACCATGATGCTGAAGGTGGGACTGACCACCCTCTGACTATGGGCCTGCACTTTCACATAAGAATCAACTTATTGTGAGAGTTGTAATTTTTTGTGGTACCTATCACAAGCCCTTCCCTTAAGTGCACATAAAAGTATAGCATTCTCTCCGTTTCAAAAATTAAAAATTTTTAGCGTAATACAACGAAGTTGAAGCAACGCTTGCGTGCTCAATTTTCCGTGGTCTGTGTGTTCCATCGAGATCTCGGCCCCTGGACCACCTAGACACTTCGGGTTTTCGTTAATTGATATAAGCTGCTATGGTCTACATTTGTCTGTTACTCATCACTTACAATTTGTTACGCGGCAAAACCCATGAGTGGGTTTTTACCTTATATGTTTGTGCTGTACATTTCGATAAATTGGAAATCGATTAGGTCCACGATTTACCTTGACGCGTCTGTCGCTGTCTGTGCAGAATAGAGCACTTCTAGGTAGAGCTGGGCAGTATACGATTTTGTAAATACTTTTATTAGTATTCAAATCCTTTAAAGTATTCAAATACTTTGTGATTAAATACTTTTATGGAAGCAGTATTTGTATTTGTAACTCAATTACTTTCACAAATATTTAGTATTCGAATACTTCGCATCCTTTTTTTTTTACCAAAAATCGACTACTGCAAAAATTTCTCGGGAAAACACTTTTTCTTATTAATTTTGGTGCGTAGAATTCAAAACCATTCGTACTTTTTCGATCAGACTTCTCAATCAAAAGTTATAGACTAGAAACCAATTTCGAAAGAATATTCAAAGGGCTGTAACTTTTGAACTAGTAGCCCAATCTTGGAACTGTTTGAAATTATGGATTCTACAGGCCACGTTCTATAAGAAAAATTCCTAAATCGAATTAAAGCTTTGAAATAATTCTGACAGAGATAGAAAACGACCAACGCTATGACGCAAAGGAATAATACATATTAATCGCATAAATTTAAATAAAATTTTAAATGAAGGTGCGTACGTGGCGACATCTCAACTAGACTTCTACAACTATAATTGATAGAAAGTGTATCGATTGCCATGGAGATGGCGCACTAGTACTTATTGCATTTAATCTATTCAAAAACCGGGCCATTAAACTACAATTGCTCTACAGATCTTGCAAGACTCCGTTCATTTTGAACTGCCATTTAAGAAATAATAAGTGCAACGTTTCTATTAATCGCATAAATTCAAATGAAATTTATATGAAGTTGGGTACGTGGCGACATCTCAACTAGACTTCTGAAACTATAATTGATAGAAAGTGTATCGATTGCTATGGAGATGGCGCACTAGTACTTATTGTATTTAATCTATATCTATTCAAAAACAGGGCCTTTAAACTACATTTGCTCTACAGATCTTGCAAGACTCCGTACATTTTGAACTGCCATTTATTCAGACTTCTCAATCAAAAGTTATACGGGACGATCTGAGACAAGTTTTTTTTTGTGGCAAAAAAAAGGGAGGTATAAACCTTCCTTTTTTCCAAAAATCGACTGCACCAAAATGTCTCGGGAAAACACTTTTTCTTATTAATTTTGGTGCGTAGAATCCAAAACAATTCGTACTTTTTAGATCAGACTTCTCAATCAAAAGTTATAGACTAGAAACCAATTTCGAAAGAAAATTCAAAGGGCTGTAACTTTTGAACTAGTAGCAATCTTGGAACTGTTTGAAATTATGGATTCTACAGGCCACATTCTATAAAAAAAATTTTTTCCGGGTCAATCTGAGACAATTTTTTTTGAGGGTCTCAAAAAAAGGCAGTGTACAACCTTCCTTTTTTACCAAAAATCGACTGCACCAAAATTTCTCGGGAAAACACTTTTTCTTATTAATTTTGGTGCGTAGAATCCAAAACAATTCGTACTTTTTCAATTAGACTTCTCAATCAAAAGTTACCTATGGACTAGAAACCAATTCCGAAAGAAAATTCAAAGAGCTGTAACTTTTGAACTAGTAGCCCAATCTTGGAACTGTTCCAAAATCGCTAGGATTAATTTCAGAAAGGCGTACGTATCATGTGCACGACGCTTTGAAAACTGGTACACGTATTCTTAAGGATATAACTGGTATAAGAAAGGTCCTGGTAGGTACATACCTCCTATATAATAATAATAATAATACGCTTTTACTCCCCTTAAATTTGTATATAACAATAGAAATATAAAAAAAGCTAACCCCATACAAAGTATAACTTGATTTTTTAAGTAGTATTAAGACTTTTATCCAGTATACTATTTTAAATTTTTAATGTATTTGAGTGACAACTATTTGAATACTTTTTACTGTATTCGAATACTTTTTATAGTATTCGAATACCTTTGATAGTATTAGAATACTTTTGAAAGTATTCGAATACATTCTAAAGTATTTGAATACTTATTTTTTTAAAGTATTTGAATACTTTTCAATGTATCTGTATCTAGTATTCGCTTGTGCTGGACGTAAAAGTATTTAGTATTCAAATACCTTTGATTTGTGTAAAGTATTTACTATTTAGTATTCAAATACTTTTTGAAAGTATTCTACCCAGCTTTGCTTCTAGGCCACTTACACTATACCTCTAACGGAAGGTCGCACTTAAAGTACCATATTTTGTTATAACGTTGAAAATTTACCTATGTGGAGTTTCAGTTGTACTTACGTAAGACTAAACTAACCATTTTTGCAGAAGAAGCAAGAAAGTGAAGTCTAAATGTTAACTTAAATCTGTTGAGTGTCACTTATGAGCTAGTTCACTTTTGAAAGTATTGCATTTACATTTCTGAATTACAACAGAACCTTATCTTTTAAAAATGCAACTAGCATCTAGTTTATCCAATTTTAACCAATTTGACACTTGGTGACTTAGACTATGTATGTACGTACTTGTCCTCCCGATTGTAGCAAGAGCATCTACTCCACTGCAGGCTGGCAAAATCGAGTGGACTTCTCTTAATTACAATTGTTTTTCCCAACAAATATATTTTCAATAAATATAATATACAATACCATAAAGGTGTAGTAAATTATCTATTTTTGTCGACTAAAGTTTTAGCAATGGCATTTATAAACAATTAAACATTGTAAATAAGTAAAACATAGTTATATCACATTCTAACATAGTCTTAAAGTTTATAATACTACAATGATATACTGGATCTTTCTAGGATACAAATTATATCTTCAATTGAACATCCTTGTAACGACAATGACAATGCACTTCTTGAGGTCAGTAGTTTGAAATGACAAATTTACAACACATCGTGGAAACGTAAGATGGCTCTCCCTGGAATTTCAGAATCGCATAATTTCTGAACGACGGATGTAGCTTCATCCGCAGAGAATTCTGTATATGGTGGAGGAGCAATCTGAAATAATACAATTAAAATCCGACCCCTGGAGCTATTTCGCATACTTCGCCATTCGCCACAAGATTTACTAACTGGCTTAAGTGCTCAATGGAACCCATTCCCACAGCCTGAATTTTTTGCTGTCGCTCAGCTGCTAACCGTGAAAATTTTGGAAGAAGCCGTTCTGCAACTTCCTCACTGATCAGTACAACACCATTCTATCAAATAATGGAATTATGACTTGAAAGGGCAAGATTTCTGGAATACTTACAATATTTAAACATTGTAACGACCTGTGGAGAGATCTAGAGGTTGTACCAAAATCAATAACAATATCAACTAAACCGTTGCAAGCATCTTTTGTTCGCTCAATTAGTTGCTTTTCATACAGGTCTTCGTTCCACTGGACAAGGTTTACACTAAAATTCGAATGTTACCCAAGTATAAGAAGCTTCATTAATTATCATACTCGTGCAGCTCTTTAGCTAACATAAAACCTTCATCTTTTAAGCTAGCTACCGTTATATGAACTCTATCTTTGTACGTGGGATTCTTGAAGTGATGTTCTGCAATTCTTATTGCCCACAGAGCTAACCCTCCAGTTCCCACAATCAGAATTTTACAGTCCTGGTCTTGAGATCGTTCAGACAGTAATTGGGAAACATATTCGTGCGCTGTTATAACTGTATTCTTTGCCAATAGCGCACCTGTAGGAAGCATGGCGGCCACACTTAGCGATAAGTTGTCTGGGATAGGCACCAGGTAACTGAGTTCGGGGACAACAACATACTCGGCATATCCATGCGGGACACCATCGTACGGGTACAATACAACTCTCTGACCGACTGCAAAATTACCGTTTTTCTGCACATCTGACCCTAGCTCATCGATAACTCCAGAAACTTCATATCCTGGGAACAATGAGCTGTCGCGTATACCATAATGCGCGGCGGGGGTTGTGTAAACACTTTCTTCCACTGATTGACTGGATGATACACTGGAAACGGAAGACGATCTCGTTCTAATACGATAACACGCTCCAGCACAAACAACACGGATGCGTGCCCCAAGGGGTGGAACGTTCGGTACCGGTACTTCGAAGTTAAAAACGCAATCTTTCATTGTAGGTCCAGGCGACTCGATCGACACTTGTCGGCATAACTTATTCATGGTTGCGATTTAAATCCACAAGTTCAAATTACCTGCAATTTGGTACGTATGAATATATAACTTGGCAATAAATAAATAAATCACTAATCCGCGAATTAAAACCAAAACACTAATAATCATTTCAGCAATTATCTATCTAAAGTAAATATACAACTTTGTTTATGAATACTACTACTTATCAAGACCATAAACCGCAGTTTCCGCTTCGAATTACATTATCAAATGCGGAAAAAATCTCGCGTGATGTAAGATAGACTTCCCAAATATGTGTGGTATTAGGTAGTCTTTGAGACATTTACCTTTGCCTTTCTGAATAAATTATGGCATGCAATAGAGGGATAGGTACATTGGAACTTTGTAACAGTTCATTTCACTTATCTGTAGTCTAGAGATGGTGAGTCCACTGTAATAAACCATATAATAACGCAGTAGCGAATATCACTTCCCTTCTCGCGATTAGTACCCTGGTCCATATTGAAGCAGTAGATTTTTTGATAAAATAGATAAGATCGCAGTATCTCATAGAGCATTCCTTGCAAAGAGATGACGAAAAATGCAATGAATTTCGTAGATAAGTGTGTTGAAGTACGTCACCTCGACAGAATCAGTAGTTGGTAACATCTCCATTTCCAAACTACTTACCCGGTAGTGCATTAAAAAGGAAAGGGTCCTTACTTTACGAATACATAGACTTCCTCCCGGAACATGTTTTACGTGCCAGGGAGAGATGCTCTCCGAGGCCTTCACAATCTAATCCTACATGCTTCATCTCTGGTAAATTTCGCATTGATCCTAAAGTAACGAACTTCGTTTCAACCCCCGCGATCTTACAAATATCCACAAAATCCCCGATGGTTAATAGACGCTCGGGCTTTCGACTTTCACTTACGCTTTTCAATTACCGCCTCCGCGATCAGAAAAGAAAGAACTTTACGATATTCCTGTGAATAGTGTACAATTGGACGGACGGATGGACATGATGAATATATGGGATCAATTTTAAACCGCAATTCTATTTTCATAAAATGCATTAAAAGTAAGTATGCAAAACGTTGTGAAACAGGAAGGTAACAGAATGACGTTGTTGTTATACAACCTAAACAAACAGTAAAGTGTTTATTGCTTTTGCTAAACGGAAAAGGCGATTCACAAGTTGTTATTTCAAGTCATTGCCAACTTTTAGTGTTATAACCCTAGTAGCACTAAATATTTATCAAATATTATTTTTTAAATATTATACAAATATTAAAAGTGAGAGATTTTTTTTTATATTTAAAATATTTATACATATATTTCATAAATATATAACCCTATATTTAAGAAATAAATGTAAATATATTTCATAAATGTAAAAATATATATATAGCAAATGAAACTCTGTATATTTCACAAATATAAGAAATTATATTTCATAAATAAAAGCACATACATTTTGAAAATATAAGCAAATATATTTATTAAACATTTATATTATATTACAGATGTATTTAAAATATCTTGGAATATAAATGCACTTCAAGAAGTAAAGTTTTACTTCTAGAAATGTCTTTATTTTCTCATAGTGCTGTAAAAATGAATCTTAAATAATACAATGAATAACATATTACTTAAATAATAGTTAAATAATAAAACTTGGGATTGACAAAATATGCACATAAGCAAGAATTCTATATCCAACCTTAACAAAAACCCTTTCAGAAAAGATTGTCAAGGGTTCATAGTTGAATTTAAGTGATGGGATTTGCACCTATGATTACCTATGATATGAAATCAAAAAATATAATTGAAGAAAAGACTGGTTTTTTTAAAAAATGAAATTACTATAACTAAACAAAAATTAAATCAACTTTTACTACCCAATTATTCAATCCTGTTCATCTATCTGGTCAGAATCCTTAGATGTTGTTGAGGAACTGCAACAAAAAAAACCATTAATTTATAATTACGGACATTCAAAAACGTATACAACAAGAGAGAATATTAACGTTAATTTGGAAATAATGAAAATAACAAGAACCAATTGTAATAAAAAAAAATTATAGAAAATTGAGCACAATAGTGACAATAAACAAAGCGTACCTACCTATCAATTGTCTTCAATCTGGACTTACTCTGGGAAAGGTATAGTGCAACAGTTTTTTTAATATTTTGTTCTGTGGCTATTGGATCACGTTTCCGAATAGCAACTGAAAACACAACAAGTTAATGTACTGCATGACAGATCAGAATTGGTGTAATACCTTGAATTGCCTTGTATATTTTCAAACTACAGAACGGAAGTTTACGCTTTTTCCCTATGCCTGAATATAGAATAGATACATCTGGTACAAGAAGCTTTTTCATGATGTTGTACACAAGTCTTGACAAAGTGTCACCGCCTACTAAATACAGGAAATGCGCCTATAACAATATAATGCATACAAAAATTCAATCAATAAATGATACTTACCAAATCCTTAAATATCATATCATCTTGTATAAGTTCTTCTACTTCCTGTACGCCTTCTAAACTACGAATCGGAAGTAAGTTTGTAAATCTAGATTCAGTCGTGGGATGCCCCTCTCTCCCTCCCTGCCCCGTTGATGTTGTTAATTGTTTATTATGTATTACGTCAATTTTTTTTTGTAATTCTTTTATTTCAAACTGCATTTGTGCTTGATTTCTTAGTACAGCACGTAAAAGATCTAAAACATAATTCTGTTATACAGAACGTCTAAATAGTAATAAATACCTACCAACACTTGTTTCTCTACTTGCTGGGTTCTTAGGAGTACTGGAACCACTTTGAGGCGAAGAAGTTTCAGAACGAATTTCGATATCTGAAACCAATAACAATGTTAATAAAAGGGATAATTAATGTTTGCAGTAATATAGCTCTATGGTTTGCTACCGTTTTTTCTGACTATGCTTCAAAGAGATATTTAAATGAATTTGTTTTGACGCCATTTTACCTATTAAAATAAGGTTTTTTTTTGGCGGTGCTCTAAAAAATTGTTTTGTTCTAATATGTTAAGATTTTTTCTGTACCTAGCACACTTTTTAAATGTATAATTTATAGGAAAAAAATTAGCTCAGTCTTTCATTTCATCTTTTACAGAATTGAGACGAAATATAAATTGCCCTATTTTCGCACAAATGTTATACTACTGAAATACACCCTTAAATCATAATAGGATAAAAAAAATGCTTACTTCTTCTAGCATGTCTCTCCGGAAAGTTAAATGTTTTCCTTCTATCTGTGCTGGTTTCCTCTTCTGAATCTTTGTTATGATCCTCTTCTTCTAGTTGCCTTCGTCCCACGGTTTTTCTTTTTTCAGATTGACCACATTCTTCAATATACCGTTTAGTTCTCTTCCTTTTTGTGTCTTCATTTTCATCATCAGATGTTTCCAGATTTGAAGTGTATTGGCCTTTATCGCATAACTCCTTTGCACGTTGTAAACTTTTTATGCATTGTTTTCTTAACTCGACATCGCACCACTTATAATTTTCACATAACTCTTTGCATTCATAAATTGTTTCTCTCACTTTTGTCTCACTCATTCCCAAGGGATATTTATACATTGTGTTATTTTCGTTAGCCCAATTGCACGGTACAAAATCAATCGCATTTTCATTTTTCCAGATAATTATATCCCACATGTTTTATACAATCGACTAACCAACTAAAACAGATCAATACAGTACAACAATAACTTTACATCTAAATTAACAAATTAAATGCAGTAAAATCATGCCCACAAAATGACCATTCTGTGAAATTACAAAACATTTTCCACTGATTTGCGTGATCGGAATGATTTCCATATGTATATGACTAAAGGCGTTAAATTTATAAATTCCCAATTCACTGGAAGGTATTGGGTAATCATACAAGTTTTTTAATTCACTTGAAATAAATCCTGCAACATAAAGTTCATCTACAATTTCTGTGATTTTGAAAATGTTCCTGCTGTTCAAAAAAACAAAACAATCTTTTTTATTTAGTGAAATTTTGAATTTTGGGAATGAGATGGTGTTGTTGTGCACTACAAACGAATTTGCATTATCCAACCTGTCATAGTTAATATAACTAGTTTCAGATAATCGCTTACATATTTGTGCAGCTGGTCGATTAGGCCGTCTTAACATATATTTTAATTTTCCTAAATAATTTTCAAAGGGGAAACAGCTCACTTCATTTAACGTTTCTTTGAAATATAAACAATCATCCGCTAAATGAATTAAACTATGGACATTATATATGCTCGCTTCATTACCATACAATAGTTTAATCTGTGCAACAAAATGAACAAGCATCTCTTTAGCAGTATTGATCCACTCTGTATCCACAAATTCTGGCAACAGCAAGACACGCATTGCACAGTGAAATAAAAGAAAGTGCTCATAAAGTTTTGTCGATAAGATATTTTTTAATACTATTGGTCCTAAGTATAATAGTATAGTCCGAAACTCTACAGCCTTAAACCTATCCAGCTCATTTAAAGATCTAGATTTTCTATTAAAATCATTAGGCATAAATTTGGCATAATACTCTAATCTCTTTGAGAGCTGTATTCTTAAATTAACTCTTAATCTAACCATATCTTGCAACGTACTACCACGTATCCAATAATTTAATAGCTTTCTCATAACACCTAAACAACACAAGTGCATATAGTCAAGTGGAAAGCCGGAAACCATATTGAAGCTACTTATACGTGTTAGTGGAGATTCTGTTACATGATGTTCTGGAAATAATTTCCTTCTAAAATTAAAATCATTTCTCAAAGGACTATCAGTATCTAGATAAACCATTCGATTATTTATGTAGTTGCCCTTTTGAACACAACGTTCACAACCATAAAATCCATTATGCCCCTTAATTCCTTTAAGGAACGCCCTTGCAGGAGCATCACTGCTGATACATAAAACTTTAACTGGAATAACGACATTGTAGTGTCGAAATCCATTTTCAAGTAAATAATTCAGTTCCACGATAAATTCATCCAAATATTCACTTAAAGAAAATGGTTTTGAGTCTCCGCAGAAAATTGCTACCACAAAAGGTTTTAAATTTGCACACTTTAAATGAAGACGGCATAAAATAGGCCACAGTTGTTGGTTTGTACTTTTAAAGAGAGGTAATCCATCAACATTAAAAGATAGACTAATATAACCATTTTCTAAAATTCTCATCTGTAAATAATTGTCATTCAAATACTCTTTAAGCATATAAGATATTCCTAAATACGAAAACTGAGATGTAGTTCCTTTACTGCTTTTTAGGTTATTGAATTTCAACTCTCTTCTTGTTTGTAAAATCGTGCGAGCATCCTTAGGCAAATTAAGTTCAGGAATGATTCTATTGACACCTTGTAACAAAGTACTTAACTGAGTTAAATTGACATTCTTGTTTATTGCCCAAGATTTAATAAAATTTTGAAATGTGCTACTACGTTCCTTTAAATTCACTGTGCATAATTGTGAACCACTAGTTTCAGTTACAGGAATTGGATCATCAAAGGAACTGTTTACCGTGAAAGTTGTGGATGTTGAAGGCAGTTCAGGTGGATAAGCAGAACTACCCGCAGAACTACAGAATTGTTCGGTGTCGATAATCGGATTGATCTTATCAATTTCAGTGTTGTATAATTGTGTATGAGATTCACATTCCTGGTCACTTTGATTTAATTCGGCACTTTGTGAAGTTACACTATTTTCTACCTGTTTCTTAATATACCGATATTTCTTACAGTATCGACTGTGGCTTGCCATGTTTTTGCTATCGTTACTGATGAGCCACCATGTACTAATAATAATTATCGGTATTGAAAGCACTTAAAAAGTACCTACTTACTTAAAAGAACCTTTTTGGCAAGTTTTTTAAGCCACAATACTTGATCTGTGAGAGTACCTAACCTAGAACAAACACAATAGAAATGTTATATACATTTTGTCGCATTTAACAAAAGACTACTTACTCTTATTAATACGATAAAGCTAAATCACGCAGGTATTTAACCTAAAACGAAAACATGCACGACAAATACAAAACCACGAACAAAACGAACCGCCATTAATACACAAAACGTAGGCGCGTCTTTACAGAAGTGCTTATTTAGCGCATTCCAACCCGGCTTGAACAGTGTGTGATTAATACACATGCGCGCGCGTAATATTTTTAAATATGAATTATTTGTGAGATTTAAATATTTCTTTCCTAATATTTTAACAACATGTCATTAATATTTAGAAAATGTAAATGACCTTCGATTATTCAATTATTGCAAACTCTATTTGGCATCCATACAAAAAATCTATTGTTATTGGATCGATAACTAAAAATGCAATATTTTGCGCCCGATGTCTACAGATAATATTTTAGAAATATTCATTTAATATTATGTATATATATAAATTTCGCAATATTTGAGAAATATTGTTTTAATCTTGTATATATTTAGGCAACATATGATATTTATTAAATATTAGAGAAATATTTAACAAATATTTTGTGCTACTAGGGATATATTAAAACATTCGCTTTCTACCCGAATTGTGTTTCTCATATCATCAGGAACAACTGTTTTTTGCAGCAACTAAAGACAAAAAAAAATCATTCTGGTATTTGCTTCTATTTGAACACGATGATAAATTGCAGTTCTTTGCGACTCAAAGCTCTTCGATGTAAAATTCCATTTTTGATGGGCGAAAAAGCAACCAGAGGGAGGAAAGTATAAACTTAGCAACCCCCACCATCTTGTACAAATAACAAAATGCATATTTATTTGCTGTTTGGTGTTTTTATTGCTCCGCTCACGTGGCAGAATTTTTTTTAACATGGAATTGGTGGTCTAGTTTAAGATTAAGCTGGAAGCGCTCACAGATGGGAAAATGGTTTTTAGACTCGATAATGTTTCACATTGGAAAAGTGGTTCTTCGGCTGCTAGAAGAAAACTGCGACCAAGATCAGTATGTCCCAGCGGAATGTGCAAACCTTCTGCATTGTGTTATGACGTTCTGCAGCAAATTTGGAAAAACTGTCCTATGTTGGGCTGGACCGTTTTTTTGGCATAGTATTTATTTTCCATCCACTGTGCCTGCCATTATTGTTCCGCATACCTTTGGACGACTTTTCGTCGAAGTTCTTTCAACAGATTCTACGTTATTAAGGTGAATTCTTCTAGGCATTCTTCTACTTTGTAACCTTCTCTTCTTGTTCCTCTCTTTAAAGCGTCATGGTTCGGGTGAGTATATCTAATGTAGCTTTCAGGTAGTAGTTGAGAACATTTACTTTCCACGTATAGGCGAGAGGAAGAACATTTTTGTATAATAATATTCTAATTATGCAGGATGAAAAGTACAATGTTATAACAGTCAAAAGTATAGGGTAACCAATCAATATTGACGACGAAGTATACTATATATATATATATATATATATATATATATATATATATTTGTGGATGGGTATGGATCCGTTTGGTAAAGATCACAATGCTTTTATATTTTAAGTAACCTTTCCTCGAACGAGATGAATCACAAACTTATTTTCCATGAAAGGGATTTAAAATGGATAATTTCTTTAAAATTTTTGACCATGGGTTTCAGTACGTCATATTTGTTGTGCACTTGAAAAAGGCATTTTCGCAATACAACAAGCACAAACGTAAATGACAATACAAGAAATAAGATCAAACTGTCAAACTTTTGAGAACGTTTTGTTTTTCTGAAGCCCTCTTCGCAAAAAATTAAACTGTATTTTTTTGAAAAATGTGCCAACCACCATGTGTGATACATCTCAGAATCTCAACATCCAAAATGTCCTCCATAAGAAAAAATAAAGTTGCCACGTATCTTGAAAATTAGTTGCCCTAATTTAACCAACTTTCTATGTCTGAAGATAATCAATCGAGATCCCTATAGTCGCAGTTGACACTCGCTGTCTATGACAATTTACAAATTCAACTATTTTGTAGGAACCATAAATAAGATTATCCCTTATAGTAACGGTATGGGGGCACTTTACTCTTGTGGGTAGCTGGCACCCCCATATGTATAGTTTTCATTTAGTTAATAAGATGTAAATTGGAGCACGTATATAATTCCACACTCACAATTTAGTATGTAATTAATACAGAGAGAGGGTTAACATTAAAAATTAATAAGTTGCACTACAAACTGTTAATACAATACACATCAGTTTATCATAATAATTAATTCCAAAAATTATATAGAAGTTCGCAATAAAGTCTTCAATCCTCTTATTTCGAGTCTAAATACATGCATTTTATCCATTTAGGGCGGTTCCAGTTTAATATTAAGCTAGCATCCGCAATTTCATAAGAAATTTCTGCCAAATGCGCGGAACATTAAATTCCACACTACAGCAATAAATAAAAACTTTATTATGTGCTATTACATTAGCATGGTGGGGGATAGAACTATGTACATAGCTCCTTGAACTATGAAATTTAATTACACGATTGTAAAGTAAGAGCTTTTAATTAGCTCGTAATGCATGTATATAAAATTCGTAGAGAGAGCGAGAGAGTTTGACAAGTAGACTGGATCAATTTTAAATTCCTGAGCTCGAACGTTTTATGCTTCCGATATCAAATTTTTATCGGAAAGTTCATTCCTCAGTAGTCAGTGTCGTAATCTCAATCAGTAAATAATCCTTGAATAAATAATGAAAAATGTTTAAATATCTACTCCTTAGCGCCATCTATGATAATGTAATCAAACATTTCACACTGTACAGTAAGCAATATCATTATGATAATATCATAAAAATGCATTTAGCGACTGTTGGCTTCGGGCGGACTCCTGTTTAAATATTTGAAGATTACCGCAAACCTACATACTTCAAAATATAGAAATGAAATTTGAATAAAACTGTAAGAATGTAGGTTCTCTGTGTTACCTACGGTGTTCCCTCCAAATTTAGTGGAGGTAAAAGGAATTTCCCTCCAAATTTAAGATTTAAACGAGTTATACCGCAAATCTGTTGTTATACGCAGAAGTGAAAAATGATACGTACCTCCTTTACGAATATAATATATTATGCCAGTCCCATTACTTGAAGTACATAGTTAATTGTATTTCTACCAAATTACACCCTTTATATCAGCGCGAAACTTCAGTTTAAAACAATTCGCACGAATTAAATAAAATAACGTTAGGATGTCGTTGAATCCAAACAAAGGAAGAAGTAAATTTATATAACTTTGTACCACTATGAACCTACGTGATATAATAAATGCGTGCACTCGTTCATTACACAATACTTTGCGTTAGGAACAAAGATGAAGCTACCTACCTATAATTGTTTACATAAAGATAATATTTACCTTGAATCATACGATATGTCCACACAAAGAACAAGTCTCCTTTAACATTGGGAGTAACTCGAGTAAACAATCACACAGGAGCACCTATTTTAAGTAGGTATTACCTGTTTACGAAGTTCAAATAAAAATAGGTAGTAATAATTTGAGTAAAATGAAGCGTCATGTGCAGACACTCATGCTATGCGTGATACTACAAAACAGAACGAAAACGTGTTTGATGTTGTGGTAGCTATTCCTATTTTAAATGTGGCGTGTATCTTTTAAATTTTAAATTAGGACGCATTCTTTATGCAAAAAAAATATAAAAAAACAACACAAGAGTTTTGTTTTATTCAATATTAACAAAAAACGACCAGCGATACCACCCGCCAATAATACAGCACAATTAAACATAAAAAACATGGTTATTACATTTACATGCATTTTTGGAAAATCATACGGATTAATACATGTAAAGCATCAGCCAGTACAATACGTACGTTTACCAATATTTTATATTTTATGGAAAAACATCCAAAGGAAACACACGATATAGTACGGAGCGATGGGAAATTAACGAAGTCTGAGGACTATTGAAAGTCGTCTGCGCGGGCAGTTACCTACTCTACCCCACATGCGTCAAAAATGAATATTGATTATGTCCATGTCATTTTCGAATTTTTCCTGTAAAACTTGGTTTTTGCACGCACTTTACCCAGAGGGCACTCACTCAAGCAATTCATGCACTCACTACAAGCACTCGTGTGACATTTGACATACCAAAGAAGAAATTACTTTAGTACCAGTCACTTTGGCTATTGTAAAAAATTGGTTGTTTCAATCTACAAGTAGTAAAATCCATATGTTAATCTGTACATCTGGCTTTAATAATCTTTATTGTGTAGAAAAAACGATTTAAACAATTCGCGTTATGATAGCGATAGAACTCAATATCTCACTGACATCTATCGTGATTCTAGGTCTCTATGCATATTGTTTCGATTTCTGCATACTAAGTAATAAGTATCCTTGAAAACCTTTTGGTGATATGTTTAGATGGCAGAAAGGGCCCTCATGTATTTTATCCTACCTACTGAATAATTTAAACAAATCATTCAGTTATGAACGTTGGTCTATTCATGCAGTTGTTATACAAGCGGTTTTAAAGCACACTCATCCCAATAAACATCGTTGTAGGTCATCCTGGAGGCCCTGAAAAAAACTAGAAACGAGTTTTCAAAGGTGCTTTTCAGGGTTAGTGGCCGTCTTTTCAGCGGCAAAGCTTTCTATGCTCTTCCCAGATTTTCTAAGACTACATGGCTCTGACGAGTGCATAGAAGGTTCTTTAGAGAGCATTTGAGGGGTCCTTGAAATGTTAGATTTATTTATCTACCGAAGCAATCGAAAACCTTACAGTCTCCCAGGCAACTACCATAGCTTTATAATGTCCTTCCAAAGTTTTTTAGTGTCCTCAACAAAGTTTTTAGACACTAATCAGGACTATGGTTAATGGTCCCCTTGCAAAATACGAAATACAAATTATCCAAGTGAATATACTACATAGAAATTACAAATAGATCCTGTAAATAGCATTGAACAAGGGAACAAAAAAAGTCGCAAAAAAATGACAGCCCTCACAATATAAGAATCTTTATATAAGTCATAAAAAACATATTCTTGACACAGAAAAGGACTACTGCACTATTGTATGCGCTCAAAGAGAGGCGTATGGATCCTGTAAACAAAATCAAACAAGGAAAATTACATCCCTCAAAATAAATGGATTTGTAATGTAAAAATGAATTGTCATTATTGAAACGGAGAAGGGCAATTTTGTTATGTGCGTTTGAAAGACAAGATCATACAAGCACAATATAACACAGGGTAACAAAAGTATTGACAAATATTATAGTAGTCACAATAGATGCCTAATAACACAAGATATTCCTGGAATGTACTACCAAAGTTCTATTAATATTTGAATGTCCTGGACATTCAAGGAACATTCGGTGAACGTAAAATTACATTATTCCAGGAATGTTACCGTAAGACATTCTAGGAACACACCCCGAATATCCCATATTCCTATTGTTGGTATTTTATTTGTTGACATAATAGGCAGTATCAAGTTCATGTCGCGTACTCTGCATTACTACCTAAAGTAAGTAGTTTCCAATTTAAAAGCTTTAATATGCTGAAATCTTGCAGTGTTTTTTGTGGGAGTAAGCGCCACCTGTTGACTGCTTCGCATGTGATTTGTCAGATTTGAGATTTGTGCATTGTGTGAGTGGGGTGGCAGGTGCATTCTATTCTTCTCTCGTGAGTGACGTGACCTCGAACTTCGAAGTCTGAACGTCAACATTCTCCGTATTGTATTCATGTGTTATTTAGTTGATTCGCGGAATAATATTGATATCCATCAATCAGAGCGCAACGGAACGGAATATTAATTGCCGTAGCGAAAACGCGTGTTGTGTTGGTTGTTGGTGGACCAGTATTCTTCTAACCCAAACCGTAAAGGGCGCGGCGCACCCACGCTTTTAATTTAACTTAACCTACAAATCGCCGTGTGCTTTGTGGTTGTTGGAGATCGCAGTTTTTGTTGTTTTTGACAAACATCTTTTCATTTAAATAGGTATGTATATAAGTATTATAAAATTCTTTTTCTATTTTTTTATTCGTTGTTTTCCGGTGCCTGCAGTAAAGGAAATAATAATATAGTCGATGAATAACATTAATTACTTAATCCAGATTATGAATTAGAATTTGTTTACTTATGCATATTATATTACTGCATAATAATAATTATGGATTCAGAAAAAAGAAAATTATTTAATAAACTTTATCAGCGATATAAACGATCTAAACAAGTTAAGAAAGTCGAGGAGGAGCCCTCCACATCTAAAGATTTTGATTATTGTATAAATAGTGAAAGTTCCACATCCCAAAAAGACATTTGTAATGTTTCAGAGGAAAGTACAGACTCCGAATTAGACTTTTGTGATATTGCTCAAATTCCAAGTAAAATTCAGGAAGAAAATTTTGTCGAGACTGAATTTTTAAATGATAAAATTGAGGATAAATCAGAGCAGACCGGACATGGGGTACACAAGTTTACTTTAATAGAACAGTTATCAGATTGGGCCATAATTCACAACATTGATCATTTTGCTTTATCTGATTTATTGCGAATTCTAAATCAAACGATTGACATTAATTTGCCCAAAGATCCAAGGACTATTTTAAAAACCCCACGAAATACTGGTTCTCTAATTGAAAAGGTAGAACCAGGTGTCTACTTTCATTTTGGGGTAGAAAATTGTCTCATAAATTTACTAAATCGTAGAGATGTTAATGACTCGGAGGATCGGAGTAATATTTTAGAAATTTGTGTAAATGTTGATGGTCTTCCATTATCAAAAAGCTCTGGAAGTCAGTTATGGCCTATAATGATCAATCTTTTTCAAAATAAAAATATTGTGGAGGTATGTGGATTATATCAAGGTAACAAAAAACCAGAAAATGCTAATGTTTTTATGTCCAAGTTTGTAAATGAAATCATCAGTTTGATGACTAATGGTTTCACTTATAAAAGCCAAATATTTTTTGTAAAAATTAAAGCCTTTATTTGTGATGTCCCTGCAAAAGCTTTTATAAAGTGTACCAGAGGTCATAGTGGTTATATGTCTTGTTCTAAATGTGATACTGAAGGTGTGTTTAAAAAGAATCGAATTTGTTTTCCTGCAATAGAAGGATTTCATCTTCGAACAGATGCAACTTTTAGACGCAAAGAACAAGATAGCCACCACACAGATACTTCTATTTTGGAATCTATACCTAACTTGAACATGATAACATGTTTTCCGCTAGACTACATGCATTTAGTATGTCTCGGCATTGTAAAAAAATTAATTAGCAATTTGTGGTTATCAGGAAAACCACCTTACCGTTTTTCAAGCCAGCAAATTTCTGAAGTTTCTCAAAAACATTTGTCATTACAAAATCAAGTACCCACTGAATTTTCCAGAAAACCGAGATTGCTTTCTGATATTAAACATTGGAAAGCAACGGAGCTTAGGATGTTTTTATTTTACACTGGACCAGTGATCTTAAAAGAGAGTGTCACTAATGAGATCTACCAAAATTTTATGTCATTGCATGTTGCAGTTACACTTTTTTCAAAATCTCAAAATATTGATTATGCTGCTGAATTGTCAAAATATTTTATTCAAACATTTTCACTGCTCTATGGAGAAGAAAATATATCACATAACGTGCATAACCTTTTGCATATTGTTGATGATGTTAAAATGTTTGGCAGCCTTGAAAATTTCAGCGCTTTTCCCTTTGAAAATAATATGTTATTTTTAAAAAAATTGGTGCGCAAAGGGGATCGACCCCTTCAACAAATTGTTAATAGAATTGTAGAGCGAAACAAATGTGTTTTGGGATCTGGAAATATTAGGGCAGAATATCCTGTATTAAAATATGAACATTCTAATGGGCCACTTATTGCTAGTGTTTTTGGTATGAAACAGTTTAAAAAAATATATATCAAAAATTTTTTATTAGCTTTAGATGATTCAAACAATTGCTGTTTCATGAATGATAACAGTGTAGTTATTATTAAAAATATTGTTTCTTTAAATAATGTAGTAACAGTAATTGGTCAGAAGTATTTAGTTTTAGAAAATTTGTATAACTTGCCTTGTGAATCCTCTAAATTAAACATTTTTGTTGTGAGCAAAGAAGGTCCCATTAAATCGTGGGAGTTACCTCAAGTTCTTCACAAGTTTTTTAAACTCACATTAAACAATAAGGTGGTTGTTTTTCCTTTATTACATACAACTGCTTAATTTGTTACAGATTTGTTTATCGCTGTTAATTTTTTTCCATTATGTAATTGTTATTTTCTTAAAAACGTAAAAACAATTTCTCTCTTTTTAAAAAATGTGTAGTGTCACAAATTTTGGACCTCGTTTTGGACGTAATAGATTTAATCTCGGATTTAATATATATTTTCTATGAGGATTAAATTAAAATATTTTTTTTATTAAATTCACATTAAAATGACATTTAATTAAAAAAATTATCTGATTTAATTAAAGTCGTCATGTCATCTCCAAGAACATGGACGGTGGTGTGTTTCGAAAGTGATAATGCAGTGCAGGCAGTTCCCACCAAGTGGATAAATGGAGAAAATTGCCTGTGGCCAGTTTTACCCCAAGAAAAACTGAATAGCGCCTTAAAGCACTGTGACTTCAACAGTTGTTGGCCATCACATAAGGTGCGAATATTTCGCAATTCAACTTATGGTATGTAGACAAATTTATTTGATTCTGACAATTTTATTTCTAAAATAATTTTTTTTCTTTAAAATCTTAATTTTTAAACCCTTAAAAAACTGCAAAGTGAAAACAATTGTCCTAAAATTTAAATATTATTTAGTGAAAATGTGGACAAACTTATTGACTTTTTTTAAATAATACCGAACATAAAAGATCCACATATTTTTGTTTTTTTTAATTTGATATGTATTTATCGAGGTATTTATGTTATTTTTTCAGACGACTATTCCACGGCAAGATCTAAAGCAGCTAAAGCGGAATATAGTAGCGACTTAAATTCCGAACCTGAAACAAAAAGGCCCCGGAAAAAAAGAATTTTGAGTTCTTCCGAGTCGGAGGATGAAATTATAAGAAGGAAGAAGCCGCAGGGAAAAGTTATCAATTTACCGATTCCTCCAACCTGGAGTATGCCCAGCCTGTCGTTTGATAGTGAGACTGTCACTAATAAAGCTGCATCCAATACCAATGGTAGTATTTTTTTGTTATTTTTTTAAAGGTTAATCATTCTTTTCTATATTACAGATACTATAGAAACTCCTATTCCTATGGCCAATTTCAGAGAGGCAAATTTAAAAGGTGAGTTGAATAGATAATTAAAAATAACCTAATAAAATAGATTCATGCGGATCAAGTCCTTTTACAGGCCAAATTATGTTCTTTTTATAATGCTCAAAATTCTTTCTTTGCTTTACATGTTTTTGCTGTTATTTTGAAAAAATCTTTTTTGATATCTTCCTGTAGTCTTATCAGTCATATTTAAATTACATACATTTTGGAAACTCCTAGTATTATTAACTCTATTTTTGTAGAAACTGATGTCTCAGCTGTTCACAACTGCAAATGCAATCCAAAAATCCTGTATAACATACAGTCTCTTTTAATTGAGGTGAATGCCAAACTGGATAAATTATCTGCAAACAGCTGTCAACCATCAGTGGAAGGACCATTAGTGCAAAATATTCTCGAAAAAAGTTCTATAGAGCTGCCAGTAGACAGTCCTGAAAAAATAGAACATATGGAAGAATTTTTGGCGTCCGTCGAAAATTACAAATGTTTAGTAAGTAATTTTAATCGTTTTTTTTTCCTAATAATTCATTTTTTAACCTTTTTTTAGGTCATATATTTTGCCAAGATGGGAGGCACTAATTTATACGACTTTGTCAAGAGATGTTTGGCACCAGTCATCTCGGACAAGACCGCAATGACCTATTCTTTTATAGGTAGAAAAGGGAAAAAGAACTTTTCAAGTTTAAAGCTGTCGCAAGCAGTTATTGGTAAATATTATTCTTGTTCAAGTATAAATAATTATAAAGTAATCTGGAAGTCAAAATTTTAAAAATTTGATAGAATCTAGAAAAATAATAAATTTTTTACTACTACAAATCATAAATGTACATTATCAACTACTTGGTTTGATAATAGAGACAGAGAATTTAATCGTGCCCTTTTCTAGTTACAAAAGTGACAATTAAAAGCTCATTGTCTAGATCATTTTAGTCATATTATTATGTTAAAGCATAAACGTGATGATAAATAGTATTCGGGTATCCTCTTATGATTGTTGATCGTAAAGAATAGAAAAAATTACCATGCACTGTTTTTTTTTAGATTCCGCTGAGAGAAGTGGTCTCCAAAAAACTAGAAAAGAGACGGAATATGCTGTAGCCATGTGGCTGCGAAAGGCGAAGGAAAGGTGTTTGAAACGAGCGTGACATGAATTGTATAAGAATTTTTAGCAATAGCAGTATACATTTTTCAAAAGATTTTTTTTTCAATAAAAATGTATATTTTACGAGGAAGCATTATTTATTACCACATATATTTCTGGTATATACTAGGAATGTCTAAAAAAAATACTATGAATGTCCAAAGAACATTCATGGACATTCAAGGAATGTTCTAAGAAGACATTCAGGGAATGTTTAAAATGCTGACACGGGATTTTTCTGGGATGTTCAGGGAATGTTCTTGTCTTTTTGGGGATATTCCAGGAATGTTTTCAATGTCCTGCGTGTACGTTCTAGGAACATACATGGCATATTTTGTGTTATTAGGG